TATTTGTAGACTCATGACACTAACAGGCTGGTGATACAGACCTGTCATTTCAACCCTTGTTAGGTGGAGGCAGAAAGATCAGGAGTTCAAGGTTTTCTTTAGCTTAGGCTGCCTGGACCCTGTATCAAACAAACAAAAACTCATGAAGCCAGCTTTGAAGTGCTGTGGTAAAGAAAGAGCTCCCGGCTCTGTCCAAGGTCATTTGGATTCCAGATTTTTTTTTTTTTTCTTTTTGCGACAGGGTCTCCCTGTAGCCCCAGATGTCCTGGAACTCAGCTGGTCCTATAAACCAGGCTGGCCTTGAACTCCCAGAGATCTACCTGCCTCTGCCTCCCAAGTGCTGGGATTAAAGGCATGTGCCACCACACCGGGCTATCCAGATTTTTTTAAAGCCACTCAGCAGGGTGAAATCATCATATTTGCCCCAGGTCTAGATACTAATATTAGATATTTATAGGATGCCCACCGTCATATATTTTGTGCCTTGTGCATATTAATTCATTTCATCCTTATAACCACCTGATAAAGTAGATAATTAACATTGGGATTGTGCTTCAAATTCACAAATGAAGACACTAGAGAAAAAAGAGTTATGAGCTACCTCAATGATGGCTGTTTCAGATCTAGAGTGGGAATGGTGCTGGCATGGTGGTGCATGCCCTTAATCCCAGTACTCCAGAGGCAGAGGCAGGAAGATCTCTGAGCTTGAGATCTGGTCTACCAAGCAAGTTTCAAGCCATTCAGGGCAACATAATGAGACCCTGTCTCAAAAAACAAAAACAAGGGACTAGAGAGATTGCTCAGTGGCTAAGAACACTGGCTGATCTTCCAGAGGACCTGGGTTCAGTTCCCAACACTCACATGGCAGCCAGCAGCCATCCTTAACTCCAGTTCTAGGGGATCCAATATCCCTCTTCTGGCCTCTGTGGGCATTGCTCTGCACAAGTGCACTTATGTACATACACCCAGGGAAAACACTCATACACATAAAAATAAATAAATTGGGGCTGGAGCGATGGCTCAGCAGTTAAGAGCACTAGTGGGCTGCTCTTGCAGAGGACCCAGGTTCGATTCCCAGCATCCACATGGAGGCTACCTACCAACCATTTATCAACTCTAGTTCCAGGGTGTCTGGTGCCCTCTTCTGGCTTCAGTGGGCATTGCATGCACATAGTGCACTTTTATACATGCAGGCAAAACATAAAATAAAGAAAAAATTTTTTAAATCAAAACAAAACCAAAAATCTGCAAATGAGTTTTAATTTTCTTGAATAAAAAGCATTTGTGATTTGTAAAGCAGTTAAAGCAAAATAAGTTGCTGAAGTGATATCACTTAAATAACACATTAAAAATTAGTTTCTTAGCCAGGTGTGGTGGCACATGCCTTTAATCCCAGCTCCTGGGAGGCAGAGGCAGGCAGATCTCTGTGAGTTTGAGGCCAGCCTGGCCTACATAGCAAGTTCCAGGACAGCTGGGGCTACAGGGAGACCCTGTCTCAAAAAAAAAAAAAAATTAGTTTCTTGGTGCTGGAGAGATGGCTCAGTGTTTAAGAGCACTGACTGCTCTTGCAGAGGACCTGGGTTCAAGTCCCAGCACCCACATAGTGGCTAACAACCATCCATAACTCTAGTTCCAGGGTATCCAACACCCTCTTCTCACCTCCACAGGCATTGCATGACACAGGTGCACTTACATACACACAGGCTATGTACTCTTATACCCATAAAATAAAAATAATAAGTAAAAAAAATTTTTCTTGTTTTTGGTCTTTTTGAGACAGGGTCTCCCTGTAGCCCCAGCTGTCCTGGAACTCACTATGTAGACCAGGCTGGCCTTGAACCAAGTGCTGGGATTGGTAAAGGCGTGTGCCACCATGCCTGGCAAGAAACTGATTTTTTTTTTAATATTTTACTTGGGCTGGGCGTGGTGGCAACACGCCTTTAATCCCAGCACTTGGGAGGCAGAGGCAGGTGGTGCAGGTGCCCACTAAGACCAGCAATATCAGATTCCCCTGGAGCTAGAGCTACAGGTGACTGTGAGCCACTTGACATGGGTGCTGGGACCCAATTTTGGGTCCTCTGCAAGAGCAGTATGCCCTCTAGCTGCTAAGCCATCTCTCTGGCTCATCTATAATATAAAAGTTATTACGTTTACTTTGTGTGTGGGGGTGGGGTGGGGAGAGAGCATTTGTGCCACAGCTTGCAGGTGAGGTCAGAGGACAACTTGCAGGAGTCAGTTCTCTCCTTCCACCATGTGGGTCTCAGGGACTGAACTCAGGTCATCAGACTTAGTGACAGGCACTTCTAGCCACTGAACTGTCTTGCCAGTCTAAGAATACAATGTTTGCAAAATTCTATAATCATATATTTGATTTTAAAAAGTTTGCATTACATCACCACAACACAGTTGTACATGTGGTCATCAATTGCAGAAAACACAAGGCAGTTTCTATGTGATCCCAGTAGAGGTATCCTTTTCTTTATCATAAGAAAATGAAACATTTTAAAACATATTTATTATTTTTTTATGTGTATGAGTGTATTGCCTGTATGTATGTGAGTGCAACACCTGTATGGTGTTGTGCAACACCGCAGAGGTCAGAAGAGGTCAGATTTCCCTGGAGCTGGGGTTAAGGATGGTTCGTAGCCACCATGTGGGTGCTGAGAATCAAACTTAGGTCCTCTGCAAGAGCAGTCAGTGCTCTTAACTGCTGAGCCATCTCTCCAGCCCTGAAAATGAAACTTTTGCCAGGTGTGGTGGCACACGCCTTTAATCCCAGCACTCCAGAGGTACAGCAGGCAGAGCTCTGTGAGTTCAAGGCCTTCCTGGTCTACATAGCCAGTTCAGGCCAGCTGGAGCTACAGGGAGACCCTGTTTCAAAAAGACAAAGAAAGACAGAGGGAGGGAGGGAGGGAGGGAAGGAAGGTTGGTTTTAGAGATAAAGCTAGTGTTTACAGTGTTTAAACATCAAAATATTTCAAGCAAATCCCCTTTGTCTTTAAGAATAAAGGTATATTTTCTTGGCAGCTTCCCTATATCCTGTTCCCTCTACTGACACCACTGGGGGTAGGCTGGGCCTTCCCCCACCCCCAACCGCTGTGAAGTTTAGCATACGTTGCCACAACTTTAAAAAAGGTGTGAGATATGCCCAGGAATAGAACCTGAGACAGCCCTGCAGATTGGGTAGGTGGAGGGAACAGAAGTCCTGCCTGTACCCCCTTGCCTCCTTTGCCATGGCTAAAGATCCCAGGCTCATTTCTGTGCATGTGCACACATCTGTGTAAATGGAACTGTGCTTTGAATGCACTGCAGGGGTGCCCTCAAAGGAGCCTTGTGGCGGAGTCTTTTGTAAAGTGAAAAATCCTTTTGTAAGATGAATAATTGTATTCTGTTTATCTGCTCTGGAGGTTCAGAGTTTTCTGGGATTCTCTGAGAGAAAGAGATTTGTTTGAAGTCCATCTGTCCCCCTTCCTTGCCTAATCCTCCTGTTGAGGGTTCTCTTTGAGTTCTGAAGGCCCACTTGGACCCCTCAGTGATAAGAAACTCATGACCCCCTGCACTAGATCATTACGTCTTTGGAAAGTTCTGCATATTAGAAATGGAAACTTGCCTTGAATAACAATAACCAAAAGGGGTTCTCCCCTCCCTTTCCAAAGATTTCATCCATGGAGTCTTCTGCTTACAGCTTGCACCAGTGTTGACGCTCTTGATACTTGATAGTTTGATAGTTTTAGATAGGTTTGATGATCTTGGCTTCCTCATTCATTTACCATAGGCAGGATTTTGAGTTCTCTTTTTTTGTTTGGTTTTGTTTTGCTTTGATTTAAAAATAAATTTTATTTATTGTTTATTTTATGTGTATGAATATATTGCCTGCATGTGTGTGAGTACTCATGTCATACAGTGCCCGCAGAGTTCAGAAGAGAACGTTGGATCCCCTGGAACTAGAGTTATTGACTGTTTGCCACCTTGTGGGTGCTGGGAATCGAACCCCGGACTGTCACAAGAGCAACCAATGCTCTTAACTGTTGAACCACCTTTCCAGTCTCTTGCTTTGTTTTTTTTTTGTTTGTTTGTTTGTTTTTGTTTTTGAAACAAGTCTCACTATGTAGCCTTGGCTGGCCTCGAACTCTCTATGTAGACCAGGTTGGCCCTGACCTTACAGAGATCCACCTACTTCTGCCTCCCAAGTGTGGCTGTACCCCACCTGGGCAGATTTTGAGTTCTCTTATACCAATGGTTCTGCCTTGACTTTGTTAGGTGATCTGTCCTGCTTTCCTTGTCACCTGTAGAATACCGTAATCTAGCTCTCAAAGAGTTAGCTGTCTGAGGCAGGAGAGAGAAAGACTAATTTCCCTGATCTACATGCTCTGCCTCTCAGTGCAGCTCAAGAGCTTTTATGACAGTGTCCTAGTTTGTTTCTTCATTGCTGTGACAAAACACTGACCACTACCAACTTGGGGAGGAAAGGGTTTATTTGTCTTACATCTCCAGGGTCATAATTCATCAGGGAGTCCAAGGTAGGAACTCGGGGCAGGAACCTGGAGGCAGGAGCTGGAGCACAGGCCATGGAGGATCACTGCTTACTGGCTTGCTCCCCTGACCCCTGCTCAGTCTGCTTTCTTATGCAACACAGGTCCTCCTGCCCAGGGGTGGCACCACCCACAGTGGGCTGGGCCCTCCTCCCACATCACTCAACAATCAAGAAGATGCCCCACAGACATGGCCATAGGCCAGTCCTATGAAGGAAATTCCTCAGTTGAGGCTCCCTCGACCCAGGTGTGTCAAGTTTGCACTAAAGCTATCCAGCACAGACAGGGATAAACTTACCATCGCCCCAGTCTTAAAATACCACTGGAGGATTCTGCTGCTAAGCCCACGTCTCTCATTCAGCCTTTCATGGAGTGACCTCTTTATGTGGCAGGGGTTTTGAAGTCAGATGTACCTGCAGAAGAGGGACCTCAACCCGAAACTAACACAACTTTCTCCTTTCTCTCTAGAACTGGTCAGGCATGAAGTGCCAGTTCAAGCTGCTGCGGATGGCTGTGGCCTTGATCTGTAGTGAGTACTGGAGGGTGTACTTGGGGGAAAGCTTGACTCGAGGACCTAAGAATAGAGGGATGGCCCTGCCCGGACCTTTAGGGGCTTGCAATCAAGAAAAAGAAGGGAGACATCAGCCATGTGTCCAAAGGTCCCTCCATATTCATGATCCTTCTTAATCTTTTTTTTTTTTTTTTTTTTGGTGGGCTGATGGTGGAGCAGAGTAGAAGATGGAGGACTTCCCGATGTTGGGCAGCAGTTTCAGCCTTCTCTGAATGGCTGTATTCTCCACAGCCCCCTCCCGAGGTCCCAGGTTGTGCATGGCAGTGACTTTATCTGTCATTTTCAGATCATTGTCTAGAATGGACTTCCCACCTCCCTTGATGGCCAGCTCTGGTCTTGACTCCACATGTGGTCCTGGGCACTCAGGTCTTGACAGTGGACCTTTCCCGTTCCCAGGCACCTAGAGGTTTTCCATCATTTTTCTGTTGGTCTTCTACAGCTCCAGTGCACCTTCACCTGTGCCCCACAGAAAATGTAAATCACCTAATTGAGCTTCTAGAGTTGTCTTTTTGAGACAGGTTCTCCCTGTAGCCCCAGCTGGCCTGGAACTATGTAGACCAGGCTGGCCTTGAGCCCACAGAGATCTGCCTGCTTCTGCCTCCCGAGTGCTGGGATTAAAGGCATGCACCACCACACCTGGCTATTTATTATTTTTAATGTGTATAAGTGATTTTCTTGCAAGTGCACCATGTGTGTCCAGTGCCCACAGAGGCCAGAAAAGGGTTTCAGATCCCTGGAGCTGGAGTTATGGATGGTTGTTGGCTACTATGTGGGTGCTAGGATTTGAACCTGGGTCTTCTGGAAAAACAGCAAGTACTCTTAAGAGATCTACACAACCTCTCCAGTCCCATAGTCTGGGAACTTAAAAAAATAAGAACATTTAAACTTGGAAGAAAGGAAAGAAGGAAGGAAGGCGCTCAACAAGTAGCTCCTAGGTCAAGAAAAATAACTTCATTATCTTTTGGGTCATTAACTTGATCCTTTAGGATTCCCTGATGCAAGTCATAGACTCCTTCCAAATATGTGCATGTTTCAAATGCACTTATGTGTGCATGTACATTAAAACATACAGTTTTGGGTAGAGTGGTGCTTGTCTGTGATCCTAGCCCTTAGGAAACTGGGGTAGAAGGATCGCAGTTTGAAGCCAGCCTGGATTATGCAGCCTCAAGCTTCCCTCTGACCAATGATACCAACAAAACACAACTTGTAGTTTTGATAGATTCACAAACAGTAACTTATAAACAGCTGGGTGTGTACGATGTGGTAAGGTAGGACCTTAAAGAGAGGTCAGTCCTACCTACTGAGATAGCTGAAGTGTTAAAGACAAGCAGGCCTCCACCACTGACCAAGTTTGAGAGGGTGTGTCTCATGTAGCCCTGCCTGGACTCACATTTGCTATGTAGTCTAGGAGGACCTTGAATTCCTATCAACCCACTTCCACCTGCAAAGTGTTGGGATTAAAGGTGTGTGCCACCATGTTTGATCCTCAAACTGTGCTTTTTTTGTCTGCTTTGGAGGAAGGAAAGAGAATCAGGAGTTCCACTGTTTATTTAAAACAAAATCCAGCTGTAAATATCATAAAACTAAAAGGAGTTAGGCTCCTTTGTCTTTTACAGCCCCTGTATAGGGCCCCAGGATCTGCTAAGTAGCAGCTCTACCTTGTTGGGAGAGCTGAGCTTGGCCCCAGCGCTCCTTCTCCACCCTCTACTGGCTGTCCCTGGAGTTGCAGGGCCCTCTGCAGAGGTCAAGTCAGTCCCCAAAGAGAATGAGGTTCCTGGGAGCAGTGGTTTAGAGCGAAGAGAGGGGCTGGAGAGATGGCTCAGCAGTTTAGAGCACTGGTTACTCTTACAGAGGACCCAGGTTCAATTTCCAGCACCTACATGGCAGTTAACAACTCTAGTTCCAGGGGATCCGACGCCCTCTTCTGACCTCCACAGACATTTTGTGACACGGGTGCACTTAGATACATGCAGGCAATAAACTCATAGACATGAAATAAAAATAATAAATAAAACCAAATGTGGCCGTTGCTCACCTTTAATCCCAGCACTCGGGAGGCAGAGGCAGGCAGATCTCTGTGAGTTCTAGGTCAGCCTGGTCTACATAGCGAGTTCCAGGACAGCTGGGGCTACAGGGAGACCATGTCTCAAAAAAGACCAAAAAAAATTAATAATAAAAATTTTAAAAAGAGAACAGAGAGGCGCACTGGTTAACTGAGTAGTACCACCTTCCTCTCAGAGGGCTGTCTTTCAAACTGTCAGATTGCCTTGGTTTCCCTGTCTGTAAAACGGGGATGGGACATTCTCGCTGTCCCCTGGGTACTGAGAGGTGGATGGCACTGTTGCCCAGCCCTTCTCCTTTAACAGACAGAAAGTTTGCTGACCCAGAAAGTTCACAAAGGGAAGGATTAGACCATAGGTGGTGGCATATTGGCATCAATCAGTTAAGGGAGAAATTCTAAGATATGTTGGACTGAGGGTGAGGTTAGGACTGATTTCTGTTCCTTCTTTGCCTTCGTTCCCCCTTCCTCCCTTCCTCCCAAGTACAAAGGCCCTGGTTCTCAGAGTTTCCTGAGGGTTTTGAGGTCATGCATGGAAACACTCCACAGAATGCAGTATTCAGAGCACACTGGTGCTGCTGGTCATGCTCCACTAGTGCAGCTGGGTACTCTTGAGGCCAACCTTTTATACTGATAGACAGGTGAAAGAACTGTCCCTGGAACATGGCATGACCACAGAGGTGCCATGGACAGAGCTGTGCCCTTCCCAGAGTCTTCTAGCAAAGCCCCTCTCAACATTCAGATAACAGTTCAAACATTGCCTCTTCAGAGAGGCTCCACCTAGCTCTCCAGAGAATGCCCTCCTCATGCCCAGCACAGACTTTTTTGTTTCATTTTTATTTTTTGAGATGGTGATCTCTGTGTAGCCCCAGCTGGCCTGGAACTATATGGACTGGGCTGGCCTAGAACTCACAGAGATCTGCCTGCCTCTGCCTCCTGAGTGCTGGGACTAAAGGTGTGCACCACCAAGCCCAGCTTCAGCATGGATTTTTTTTTTAAAAGAAGTTTATTTTCTCCCAGATTTTAAAAAATTTTTATTTTATGTGTATGAATGTATTGCCTGCATGTATGTGAGTGCACCCGTGTCATGCAATGCCTTGGAGGTCAGAAGAGGGCTTCGGATTCCCCTGGAACTGGAGCTAAGGACAGTTCATAGCCACCATGTGGGTGCTGGGAATCAAACCTGGGTCCTCTGCAAGAGCAGTCAGTGCTCTTAACCACTGAGCCATCTCTCCAGCCCCTTCAGCATGGATTTTATATCGCCTTTTCCCCACACATCTGTATCTCGTAATGAAATTGTCTTGTGTATATAATTGATTACTGACTTATGGCCAGACCCTGTAAGCTCTGGGAGAAGTCTCCTTGACTGCTGTATTTGGCTTCATGACAGTGAGTTAATGGGTGACTGGGTGGCTGGCATGCCACTCCCCAGCCCCTGCTCAGGACCCTGCTGTGATGTCTCTGTTTCCTCCCCTTGCAGTGAGTATGGAATTTGGGCGGGCTGTGTGGCTCCGCTTCCACCCATCAGCTTATCCCCCGTGCCCCCACCCGAGTTTTGTGGCGCACTTGGGGGGCGTGGCTGTGGGTATCACCCTGGGCGTGGTGGTTCTGAGGAACTTCGAGCAGAGGCTGCAGGACCAGTCGCTGTGGTGGATTTTCGTGGCCATGTACACCATCTTCGTGCTGTTCGCTGTCTTCTGGAACATCTTTGCTTACACCCTGCTGGACTTGAAGCTGCCACCGCCCCCCTAAGGGGCTAGAGGACTGAGGCAGGGAGTGGAGGAAGCAGCAGCATCCAGAGCAAGTTCCTGTATCTGTTTTCTCATCAACAACTCAGTGAGGCCAGGGAGAACAGGGGTAGACTCTGGACCACTGGGTGTTTCTGTTAGATTTGGGTGGCGAAGGCTCTTTATGGAAGGATAAGGGAGGAAGAATGTGGCTGTTGTCATTTTCTTAGACTAAAAACACCCTGGTCAAGGAGAAGGCCTGGGGTAGGGTGAGACCTGTGCCCTTCCTAGAGTCTTCTCACATGGCTGAGCTTGTTCCATGTGCTCCCCTCTCCCTGCCACAGACGGAGCTGTAGCCTGCTTCCTGGTCCTCTAATGGAGAGACCCTGGGACACAGAAGTTCTGAGGGTAGCCACAGCCAGGCAGGCCTTCCCCTGCCCACAGGTAACTGCAAGTCAGGTTGTGTTCTCTCTGAAGCTCAGGATATGGAGCTCCGAGGGTGGACATGTTGGCTCTGATCTGGGGGATCCCAGGGTACTCCCGGTCCCCAGTCTTCTCAGTGGGTGCGATGGCATAGTCTCTAGGGCTGGGGAGAGCAGAAAGATGCCATAACCTTCAGTCATCATGCCCTGGGGGACCTGTGAGAGGGACCCCTGCTAGGAGGAAATGAACTTCATCCAAGGTTCTCCCTAGGTAAGGCCCAGGTTGAGCTTTACACTTCTCCCTCCCTGTAGTCGGGGATGCTGGCGTCTCACTCCTGCATCCATGTCCTACCTGAAATTTAGGGGTTTTCTTCCCTTCTGCCCTGACCCTACTTTGTGCCTCTGCCGCCTCCTGTAGAATAATCTCTTTGGGGTGGAAGAGTGGCTAGGGCAGTGATACCAAGGCCTTGCATCCATGTAAGTTGGTGGAGACAGCAGGCTATAGTAAAAAGGAATTCTGATTTTGGTGAAAACTGCTCCAGAGAAGAGGTGCTGGGAGCTTGGATGAGTATCCAAGGAGAGAGCAGCCATAGACTCAGATGGTTAGATCTAGAAAGAACTTGGAGATAGTCCAGCTTCACTCACTCCCCTTTCACAGGGAAAGTGAGGTTGAGGGAGGACCTTGTACTGCCCATAGCCTGGCAGCTCTAGGTGCCAGGACAGGAGTCTGGAGGAGAGGCCCCTCTCCCAGCAGGGCACCCACTGCCTCTGACCCTCCAGGAAGGGAAAGCATATTCAGGCTGGCACTGGGAACCCCAAGTGGAGGGTGTGAGGTGGATGACCTTTATATTGCCTTTCGAACTCTCAACCTGATTGCCTGTGATGAAGAGCTGTAGACATATGAAGTGAGGGGCAGAGCTCATGCAGGAGGGTGGGAACTGCCTTCCACCTGCCTAATACCCAATAGACCTCTGTTATGGTACGGACCAAAGCTAGCCAGGCCACACAATGGGGAATTAGGCCATTGCAGCTTCATGTCCTGCTGATTATCTGGAAACCATCAGGGTCTTCCTGACCAGGAACACACACACTCCACACTTGTTAGTCTATGCTAAGCCCTCTCTCTCTGCCAGCCACTAACAAGATTGTCCTGGTCCTCACACATGGTTCCTAAGGCCCTGCTACACTTGTGTCAACACTGTGCCAAGACCTGTGAGGATGTGGCTCTGTGAGCCCAGGACCATGGCTGATTTGTACCAGCCTGAAGCATCTTGTCTGTGCCCTGCTTGGCTTTCTCTGCCCCAGTAACAGACATGTAGGAGGAAGAGTCAGCTTCTTGGGAGGAGAGACTGAGGCTATAGAACTTGGGCTGGGAAGGCTTGGGTAAGGATTGAGGGAGCCTGGGCTTTGTTCCCTCTGTCATGGGCTGCAGCGCTTGAGAGGGGTGTGCAGAGGTTGCTGATGCCCTGCTGGAAAAAGGGCCTTCCCCTCTAGACTCCTGCTACCTCGTATCTCTCATATGAGGGACTGCCACCCTTGTGCTTGTCAGGTATGTCCTGGAAAAGGCTAAGCAATGAACTAGAAGACTAGAAAGCCCTCAAGGAGTACCCAGTGCAGGGCTTCAGATGAAAGTTTGCAGAGACAGGATCCTGCCTTTTCTGTCAGCACACCCACCTCCACTGAATAAGAACAATAGAGTCACTTCACAGGGCCCACAAAGGTTCACATCTTAGTGACAGGTCCCCTTTGCTCCTGGGTCCCCTCACCATTCTAGCAACACTTCTCATCTGGGTCTCCTCACACCTCTCTCTTCTTCCAGTGTGGTAGGCCACCAGTCAGAGTGCTGGGATGTGGAGGGCAGAGTAAATCTTCATGCGAGTGGATACAGGTCAGCCTCCAAGGCTGGGTGGGGAATCCCCAAACAGCAGCCACAGACTCACTCACTCATTAAACAGGAAGGGAATCATGAAAACCAAGGAAGGGAAAACAGGCCTTCAAAGGAGAAATTTCACTCTAATGACACCATTCATCACTCATTTTTTAATTAGGAAAAGCTCCCTAATGAGGCTCTTTTGCCAGCTAATGGGACTCTCAATTTCCATGTGAATCATTCTTGCCTAGAGGATTAGGGGACACATTGCTCACCAAACCCAGATCTTCCTCTAGCATCCAATTCAGAGTGCAGATAATGCAGATCGCCCGGTGCAGTGTGGTTCCCAGGGCTGGCTGCAAAGCACCAAATCTCCTCTGCCTTAAAAACAGTGCCCAACAGTAAGCTGCCCCTGTGAGGACTTCAGTAAGTGAAAAACAAAACACTAGTCACAATGTTGGTTTCTAAATATTTTTGTATTGTGTATATTCTGTTTATTTTTGTTGTAACATATTATTTGAGCACAGATTCCATTAAAGATTTTTTTTTTTAAGCTATTGGTTATTCCGGAAGTGACTTCAAGGGCTACCATGGAGCCTGTTTTGTCTGACTGTGGGTCTGGGTCATGGTGGGAGATGATGAACAGTGGTAGTGGTTTGATGGTTTTGAAAATATAGAGGGGCACTGGTGGTTGGCACTAACTAGTCTTTCTAGTTTGTCGGTTTCTCCTTAACCTTCCCTGAGTGGTTGATGAAAGCTGTGGTTGCTCTTCCCATAAAAATGCACCTATGTAGAAAGTTACCTGGACAGTTTCAGAGGTGGGTGCTGGCAGATAAGGAAATTCAGCCCAAGTTTCAGGTCAAGAAACTCAGTGCCAGTGTCCCATTGGGGCTGTTTCCCTTTCCACTTGTTCTTGATGCTCAGAGGATGGAGGAGAAATGTTTGAAATGCCCTAGAGACTTCTTTCGTCACTCCAATAGTCTAGTCTTTGGGCCCCTCTAGGGCCATCAAAGTCTTGATCTTGATGATCAGGGCATGGTCAAGTTCACACCCAGAAAAGGAAATGGAAGCAGCATAAATGTCAAGCTGAAGTATGGGTCTGGGGAGATATAACAACTGAGCTTTGCAGGGACGAGGCCTGGAAAGGTCAGCTGTGTCTCCACCTTCCCCAAAGAACCAGTAGCATAGATAGTTTTCCACTCACAGCTGTGAAATGTGTTTGGGGACTGGTGCCCTGTTAAATTCAGCATGGGAGTTGGTTCCCAAATGTTCTTTCACATCAGATTCCTGGGTCTTACTGAAAAATATTTCTGGGGATGCAGAGATGGCTCAGCAGTTAAGAATATTTACTGCTCTTGCAGAGGACCCAGGTTCAGTTTCCAGTACCCACATGGCAGCTAACACCATCCTTAACTCCTGTTCCAGGGGATTTGACACTCTCTTCTGGCCCATGTAGGCACCAGGCACACAAGTAGTGTACTTACATATATGCACGCAAAACACTCACACGCATAAAGTAAAAATACTTCTTTTACTTTTTTTTGGTCTTTTTGAGACAGGGTCTCCCTGTAGCCCCAGCAGTCCTGGAACCCATTATGTAGACCAGGCTGGCCTTGAACCACAGAGATCTGCCTGCCTCTGCCTCCCAAGTGCTGGGATTAAAGGCATGCACCACCATGCCAGGCTCAAAAATATTTCTTAAAAAGAATTTTAAAGAGAAAATATTTCCAAACACTGTAGAAGCATCCCAGAACTAACTTTAGAGTACAGTTCAGCATAACAGAGAAAACCCACTTCTACTAGAGACTGGAGAAGAGGACTTTACTGCAAGGAAACCAGGTCTTCTACCACTAGAACAGTCCCAGCCTCTAATACCTGAGACTTTTCAGGGTGGGCTACATGAAGAACCAAAAGCTGTTTAGTTGGTTAACTTGCCTTTGGCCTCCCATTTCTTTTTACTTTTTTGGTTCTTTTCTTAAAAAGATTTTATTTTATGTGTATGCGTGTATTGCCTGCATGTAGGTAAGTGCACCCATGTTGTGCAATGCCCATGGAGTACAGAAGAGTCTGTGGGATCCCCTGGAACTGGAGTTACGGACAGTTGTTAGCTGCCATGTAGGTGCTGGGATTCGAACCCAGGTCTTCTGCAAAAACAGTGTCCTTAACCACTGAGCCATCTCTCCAGCTCCTTGGTGGTTCTATTGGACTTTCATTCTTGAAAATAACTAAGATATTTGCCAGTAATAACTTAAAAACTGAAAACAGTTTACTAGGTCCCTACTCAGGCTAGACACTCAGGTAGACATTTTCATAGTTACTTTTTAAGAAATCCGTATGGACACCCCATACTTAAATGAAAGTGGAAGGCTTAGAGCTTAGTCACTTACTGATAGTAGATAGTAGAGCTGGATTCAAACTCAAGACATCTGGTTCTAAATTTATATTTTTGGCCCCCAAATATTTGCATTGGACTTAAAGGGCACTAAACACATATACAATAGGGTGTTTGTTAAAGAGCTAATTTTACCAGATGTGTTAGCACTCAGGAGGGAGAGGCAAGGCAGATCTCTGTGAGTTCAAGGCCAGTCTGGTCTACATAGTGAGTTCCAGGCCAGCTGGAGCTACACTGTCTCAAAAAGACAAAAAAAAAAAAAAAAAAAAAAAAAAAAAGAAAACAAAGAGCCAACTTCTGGCTGGGGAGGGAAATCACTAAAGTGCTTGCTGTGCAAGTATGAGGACCTCAGTTTGATCCTCAGGACTCATGTAAAAAGCCAGGTGTGGTTGTGCACTTGTACTCTCAGTGTGGGCACATGGAGACAGGCAGATCCCTGAGGCTCACTGGCCAGCCAGCCAAGTCTACTTGGTGAGCTCCGGGCCACATATACAAGGTTGTCCTCTGGCCTCCCCACACAGATTAACACATGCATATGCACATGCACATGCACAATACACACATCATAACACAGTTTCACTGTGTTAAGCCAAAGGCTACTCAGGAATAACTAAACTTGGAATCCTTGCTCACTTTTCTTAACAGACCCTCTACTTAGCCCTCTCAGAAACAACTTACAAAAAATGTTGGCAGTCTGTCACTACTCCCTGTAACCCCAAATTGCAAAATCTAGGCATTTATGCCACCTCAGTGTTCTGTCTGCATGACTCAAAGTCCAAATGGCAGTTAGGAACTTTAGTGGCCAGAGAACTGAGCTGCCTGCCCTCTCCTCCAAGTGGAAAGTCTTCATTGACTACAATGGAGTTTGCAGTAACTGAAAGTCACAGGATAAGGGAAATTGCACCTAGGAACTGAATCTATTTCTGAGAAACCTGCAGGCTTTCTAGCATCTGGTATACAGGTCCTCTGGAACAGGACAAGCATTCCACCAGGGATGGTAAGAATGGAAGAAAGGGACCTGAGCTACTATGTGCTACAAGTGTAACCTTTTGGAGTGACAGGCAATACATCCTGACAGAAACTGTTTAGACCCTTCTCTTGCACCCTGAAGATGCGGAAAGGCTGGCTGGGTATGGTGGCACACACCTTTAACCCCAGCACTGGGGAGGCAGAGGCAGGCAGATCTCTGTGAGTTCAAGGCCAGCCTAGTCTACAAAGTGAGTTTCAGGCCAGCTTGGGCTACACTGAGACCCTGTCTCAAAAACACCAAAAAATTAAATTAAAAAAAAAAAGATGGGTTACAAATAAAGGATAATTGGCAGGTGTGGTGGCACACATCTCTAATCCTGCACTCCAGAGGCAGAGGCTGGCAGATCTCTGTGAGTTCAAGGCCAGCCTGGTCTAAAAAGTGAGTTTCAGGCCCAGCTGGGGCTACAATGAGACCCTGTCTCAAAGACAAAAAAAAAAAAAAAAGATGCAGAAAGGTGTGTCCCAGCAGGTGACTTGCTTTTCTTCATATTCCTTAGCATAATGGATAATTTCCCTAGAAACTGATTGGGAATTAATAAGGATGAAAACTATACTCCATTAGGTAAAAGGGACTACTTTGATTAGAAGCCATGTTTTTTTAAAAAAATATTTATTTTTTAATTATTTAATAACCACATACTTAGAAGCATTTCATTACAACAGCATTGACGTATTCAATAACAATTTCCAGAGCTAAGATGCATCTCTTTCAAAATTGGCTGTAAATTT